CTTCCTCCTCCTCCTCTTCCTAATCCTCCTCCTACTCCTCCTCGGCGATGCATCGCCGATGAATCGTCGGTGCGCCCGCGGCAGCGAAGCCGCGCGTTGCTGGACGGGGCGGGCTATTGGGCCCCTCGTTAGCGATGAATGGGCGATAGGGGGTCGATGCGGCCCCCCCCCTCAGCCTGTTTCCACCCTCACTTTGCCCCTGAGAGGGGGGGTGGCGCATCATGATCCTAGGCGCACGCGCGAGCGAGGGGCTTGTCAGGGAACGCGTCCAAAGAAGAGGAGGGGCCATGAAATCTGGAAGATGTCATAGCTCCAGCCATGGTATCTCCACACACGCCTGATCCTCACGCCCCTCCTGGACGCCTCTCGACTTGAGCCGGCGGCCAAGTGGATCTTTCTGGAAAGCCTGAATCAAAAACATGTTGCTTCGAGCAATCCCCACCGAAACCTTAAGCGTTTGTTCCCGACGGCGCGCGGTCGCCAAATTGGCCGTCAACTGCCATTTCTAGAACAAAAAGACGGCTCAACCGTGTTCCATGTAATCACGTAGTTACGTGTTCTGTTCTCGACGGACCGGCATCACGTCGTGACGCCTGTGACATAGATGCGTCGTCTGTTATGATGTTTCTATTCACGTATGCTTCTCGTCCGGTTGATTATGTTATGTTATGCTCGTCTCTGTCACCATATGATGTGAGACATTATGGTATCACTTGCTCTGTGACAATGTGGTATGGCATGATATGCTATGTCAGGCTATGTTATACTATGATTTGCTCCGTGGTGCTGTTGACAGCAACGCTCCGCCTAGTATAGTATGATATGATATGCGAGTATGTGTCGCTGTGCTGTGCTGCCGTGGTATGATGTGTTCTGTGATGTTGAAATGATATGATGTGATATGTTATGTCATGGTGTGATATGGCTTGATTGGTTATGCCATGTTATGTTGTGCTAGGTCGTCTTCTGTTATGGCCTGTTCGGCTCTGGTACGTTATATGATGTTTTGTTTGTTGACGGCTCGGCTCGGCTCTGTACCATACAATATGATATGCTCTGCTATGCTCTGGTGTCGTGTTGTGATATGTCCGGCGGTGCTGTGTCATGATATGATGTGTTCTGCCAAGGTGTGCTGAATTATGTTCGGCTATGTTATGTTATGTTGTGTTATGTCGTCTTACGTTATGTCATGTTCTGCTCCGGTATGTTACGTGACGGCCTATTATGCCCTGTTCTACCATGACATTGCTATCTTCTGTTATGTCATATTATGTCGCGCTAGTGTTATGTTCTGTCATGCTCTGGTGTGCCATGTTGTGCTCTGTCGTGTTCGTCGTCGCTATGCTCTGCTGTCGTGTTATGGTATGTTTTGTGATGATGTGCCATGGTATGATGTGCTATGGTATGCTCGGCTCTGTTATGTTATGTTGTGTTCTGCCGTCGTCTGGCATGTCATGTTCTGATATGGTATGGTATGTGATGTTATGTGTGTTGACGGCTCGGCTCCGTATAGTATATTATGATACTATATGTTAATATGTTTCGCTATGCTCTACTGCCGTGTTATTGTATGTTCGATGATGCTGTGTCATGGTATGATATGTGCTGTCAAGGTGTCTTTTGGTATGTTCGACTATGGTATGTCATGTTGTGTTCGACCGTCGTATGGTATGGCATGTTCTGCTCTGAAATGTTATGTGATGTTCCCGTATGCCAACTCGTGTCATGAATGTGCGGTGTTATGGTATGGTATGGTATGGTATGTCATGCCCGTGCTATGTTATGTCATGTTATGCTGTCAATATGTGTTCTGTCGTGTTCGACGTCGCTATGCTCTACTGTCGTGTTATGGTATGTTATGTGATGTTGTGTCATGATATGATATGTTCTGTCATAGTGTGTTATGTTATGCTCAGCTGTGCTATGTTATGTCGTGACCTGTCGTCTTCCGTTATGTCATGCTCTGCTCTGCTATGTTATGGCATAATCTGCTGTGTAATGGTTTGCCATGATGTTGTTATCTTCTGTTCTACCATGGTCTCTCATGCTCGTGTTATGTTATGTCATGGTATGCTGTGCTATGTTATGTCGTGTTCATCGTCGCTCGTGTCTGCTGTGGTCTTATGATATGTTATGTGATGATGTGCCATGATGTGATTTGTTCTGGTCAAGGTGTGTTATGGTATAGCTGGTTATATTATGTTATGTCATGTCGGGATCTGCCGTCTTCTGTTATGCCATACCCTGACATGTTATGTTTTGTGATGTTATGTCATGCTCTACTGAATCATGATACTGATACACTCTGTTCTGTCATGTTCTGTCATGCTCTGTTCCGTTCTGTCATGCGATGTTCTGTCATGTTGTGTTCTGTCGTGTTCGTCGAAAGCGCGAGGCGGGACAGCGGGGACTCTCGAAGATCATCGTGACAACTTGGGGCCTGGCGGTCGCGGTATGCAGGGTGGGGTTGGCCGGGCGCGAGGAGGGACACCCGTGACTCTCGGGGATCATCGGGACAATTTGGGGTCTGGCGGCCGCGGGATGCAGGGTGGGGTTGGCCGGGCGCGGGGCGGGACACCCCGGACTCTCGGGACAACTTGGGGTCTGGTGGACGCGTCATGCAGGGTTGGGTTTGCCGAGGGGCCTGTTCTCGAAATCTAAGAACCCCAGCCAGTCGGGAGGGGAAAAACAGAATGCATCTCGTGGAGGGCCGATGTTTGCGTCCGCCGCCTTCCGCCAGCTCACGCATGCGGACCCACCCACGTTTGCCTTCCGCCAGCTTCCTGCCCTCCGCGGCCTTCCTCCGAAGAAGAGATGCCGACCTCTCGATCCCTGTAGGGCGAGGCTCTTTCCGGAACGCCCCAAGTGAGCGACAGTCAAAAGCAGGTCTTGCGCGAGGTGACGTAGCGGCGGCTCCCGCGGACCTCCCGCGGCGGCTCACGCGGGCCGCCAGCGCGCTGCGCCACAGTGCAGACGTGGGCGCTCACGCGCGACCTTACGCGGGCAGATGACGCGCCAGTGTCGGCGCAGACGACCCCGTTTCCTTCCGTCGCTCGAAGGGCAAACGAGATCCGAGAGTGAGGCCAACAATCGCTGTCAGCTTAGGCCCGAGGCTGCCGAGCACAGGCAGCGCACAGAGGCAGCACACCCGGCGCAGGTATGGCAGGTGGAGGTCGCGGCACACTGCGCCGGGGCGCACGCCCGACGAGCAGAAACAGCGGCAAGGGGACAGCGGCCAGGCGTGACCATGGCGTCGTCGTCGTCGTCGTCGTCGTCGTCGTCGTCGTCGTCGTCGTCGTCTTCGCCTTCCCTCGTCGTCGTCGACGCTCTGCAGGTAGATTGGTTCGACGCCAGCGGACACAAACGACCGAGTGAGGCAGGTGACCGAACAGATGCAGAGGCCGACTGCTCATGCAGTCGGACCTGGGCCAGAAGAGCATCCTTCGAGAACATGAGACCCTCCGCCGGCCAAAACGAAAACATAGCATCCGAGGGTACCCTCCCCAGGATGCACAAGGACATCCCACAAACACGACGAGCACTGGGGCACCCTCCCCGAACCGACCTCGATCGTATACCCCGGCCCGACTGTACACCGCAGCTGCAGACGGACCTGCAGCAGAGTGACACAGCGACGGCGGAGGTGCGGAGGTCGAGCTCGGGCTCACGGCGATCGGCAGGGACGCCAGAGCCAGAGCGTGCTCGGGGTGAAGCCGCTCGACGGCGACGGGTCAAGCTGGAAGACGTGCCGCCTGCAGCACAAGGCGCACTCGATGGCGCAGGGACGGCGGCGGCTGCGACGAAGCCATTTGACATGACGGGCACCCGCAAAGCACGGAGCAAGATCCCTTCCCAAGGCTTCTGACCCTTTCAGGCCTTGGCCTCCACTGCGCGCTCAAGCGAGGGCAGACGGCGACCCTCAAGAGGCGTTGGAGCCCGCGGGGGAGGAACCTATTCCTAAGGCTGCGTTCGACCTTTACTTAGTAGGCGCAGATCGGCTTGCAACAACGCGCAAGATCGAACAATGCTGCTGCAAAACTACCAAGAGAAACCGTTGGTGACGAAAGCCACCTCGGAGCAGGGGGTTGAACACGATCTACTGCAGCATTCTGGCCCGGGCGGCGCGGTTTACTCCTACGAAGCTGGACAAATTCATGGTGTCTTTCCTGATGCAGACGCTGGAGGCTCGGAATCACACTACGATAACCCCACAGACAGGACCAGGAGACAGCGACGCTGGCCTTGGCCAATGCGGTCAGAGATCGCAGGCTTGGCCAGGGGATCACCGCCGCTTTCCTTACTGAGCAGAGTGTTGGCTGGCTACTGGGGAGGAGCCAACAAGCTAGCGGCGGGAGTCTGATCAACTGAAGCTGGAGCACAAGCTGGGTCACGAGAGTAAGGCGACGGGCCCGATCATTCCGAGGCTGGTCAACTCGACTGGCAGGATGATCCCAAGGTTCTAGACGAGAAGCCACGGGCGTTCATCATACGCGATGATCTGCGGCAAGGAATACGATTGTAAGATCGCAGAGATGGGTGATCTGGACGCAGCAGTTGGGAGGCCTGCTTTGGCGAGGGGCCACGTAGTAGGCAAAAACGAGCTGGACGACACGCGCTTGGTGACCAACATCGAGCGAGATGTTCAAGAGGTCAGAGCTGCACCAAGGAGATGTAGGAGGAACAGCAGCAGCGCGAGCAGCAGCAGCAGCAGCAGCAGGGCGAAGACGAGACGGGACAGGGGAGAGGTGGACGACGACGACGACGACGACGACGACGACGACGACGACGACGACGACGAACACGACGACCACGACGACGACGACGACGACGACGACGACGACGACGACGACGACGACGACGACGACGACGATGACCGACGACCGACTAGGACAGCGACCGACGAGGCTGCGGAGGAGGAGGACGACGACTACAACGAAGAGGTGCGCGCATCGCCCCTCGGAGGTCCAGGTGTAGGTCGGGCCCTCGCCCCCGCGGGGCGCCTTCTGCTGGAGCGCGCGGGGCACCTGGCGGTTCACCATGAAGGCGCTCACCCCCCGGAGGTGGTCGCGGAACTGTATCCAATCCTGTGCAGGGCAATGAGATCCTGGCGTTGCAGTTTTTTTCTCACAACGGGCTCTTTCGCCAGGCTTCGGGCCCCGGGACCCTCGCAGATCGACCTGGCTCGAAAAAGGACGCAGAAAGCTGGAGTCTAGGGCTGTGATTTCTACAAAGAAGCAATTTTTGTCGCGACGTCGGATCTCGGGGGGCGAGGAGCAGGATGAGGAAACGTACAGATTGAGGAGGCAACGGCAAGCAGGCAACTGGGCAACCTGGCCAACCCAGGCACCGAGGCAATCCCAAGCAACCCCTGGCAGCCAGGCAATCCTGGACAACCCCGGGGCGAACCCAGACCCGGGCAACGAACCCTGGGGGGGAACTCCACGGCATGCCCGCGCGACGACCAGGCCCGGCACCCGCCCGTTCCTCTCGAACAAGTGAGGACCCCTTAGACAAAGCCTGCCTGGGCACAAAGCAAGGCAATGCTTGTCGCCAGTGTCGGCCTCTGGGGCTCTCGCTGGGCCCTGGGGCCATCAGAAAACGGCAACATCGCTTCAGAGCTTGCCCAGTTTCCAGACGAGCTCCGAAATCCTCGGGCCGCACCAGGCCCCGTGGCAAGAGACTAGTCGCTTCACATCCCAGCGTCTTCATGTGTGGAGAATCCTCCCTGGAGGGCAAGGACGGGGGAGGCGAGCGGATCATGGGGATGAGGAGGTCGGGGACGGGAGGGGGAGGGGCGAAGAGGATGTTGATGTAGTGCAGAGCAGGGGAAGGGCCGTCGACTCGGCATCCCAGTTCCTTGCCCAGTAGGGCCCTCGTCACATCCTGCGCGCGATCTCCTGCACGCGATCTCGCGATGAAAGCTGGCCCTGGGGAGAGGGTCGGCTCTTCCAGGGGCCCCCGTGCTGAAGAAAAAGCAGGTCGGATGTCTGGGACGGCGGCCGAGCTGCGTCGCGAGCTCCACCGTCCGAGCGGTCGCCGTGGCGCGAGGCAGCGCCTGCGACTCCGCCCCGATGCCGCCTGGGAGCTGCACGAACGAGTGCACAAGCGCGCTCTGGCGTCAGGGATCCTCTTCGCACCACGCAGTCGCAGCGACGCTGGGCGCCGAGGGGAAGGCGTCTGCCACGCGGCCGCACCTTCGTTTGCACGTCCGTCGACATGGCCACCGCGGCGGCGGTGAAGAAGGAGGGCTAAAAAACGCCAGGGGATCTTCTTTGAATATTGTGCTACTCCCGCGGGGCCGAGCTACACCCAGCGACGCGGGACCACCCCGAGCTGGGCACCGAAGCCTGCGGCCAATGGCCCAACAGGACAGAGAAGGAGAATAACTTTCCCAAACTGACCTGGTCAGGAGGAGGAGGAGGAGGAAGAGCAGGGGCAGGAGGAGGAGGAGAAAGAAGAGGAGGACGCAGATGAGGCAGAGGAACATGAAGAGGAAAGAGGAAGAAAGAAGAGGAAAGAAGAGGAAAGAAGAGGAAGGAGGAAGAGGAGAAGGAATTGGGAGAGCGAGGCTGAAGAGGAGGACGAGGAGAAAGAACGCGCTGAGAGAAATTACATCGAGGATCCGCCTGCTCCCTTGGGGACGCCAGGTTGTGAAGTCTTCAACTGAACTGCTGTCTGGTGTACTTTGCGCTGCTTTTTGTAATTTGTCCCATTTCTCTCCCTTCCTGTCTCCATTTTGTTGTGTGCTATGCGGCCTAGGACTTCGAGAGTCCAAAATGGTCAAAGATGGCCTCAAGATGTTTCTAAGACGGCCCAGAAGGGCCTCGAGACATCCCCGAGAGAACGAAAAGCACTGAACACACGCACAATATGCCTTGCACTGCTGTGATTACCCATCAAGAGGTCTCAACATCGCTTCAAGGCGGGCCCTCAAACCCCGAGATTGCCCAAGACGTCCCCAAGGTGGCCCCAAAAGGGCACAAGATGCTGCCCAAGTGGCCCAGGATGACCTAACAAGGCCCGAAGATGACCCCAAGCTGCCCCCAAGATCGGGCATCAAAGAGGCCCAGGGCGGCCCGAGGACGAGGCCTCGCCCCGGAGGGGCCCCGTGGTGGTCCCAAAACTGCCCCGATGTAGCCGCGAGGTGGCTCAGCCGGAGGAGCCGGCGGCAGAGGGCACAGTCCTTCCGGAAAAACGACGAGGCGGAGGGGGGAATGCGGGGACAGCCAGCGACCACAGCCACATCGAGGACACACCCTGGGGGAGGCTTGCGCATCAACACTCGTCAGAACACCGAAGCCAACTCAGCATGGATTGTGGCCGATGTGGGCGTCCCAGGGCGGCCAAGTGAACCACAACCACAGTCAAAATGTTCATGTCGAGGTCGGTGGGTCCAGAAAAGTGTTCCCCCAGGGCGCTCTCCAGGAAAATCCACCTAATTGTGGATGTGGTTCTTCGTTGCGCCCAGAGACGAAGAGGAAGAAGGCAGCAGGCAATTCCATGCACCCTGGTAGACGTTAGCTGTCATCGGCAATGTCACGTTGTACCAAAATTGTATCGATGAAAAAGGTGCAAGCAGGATGAACCGAAAGCGCAGCGGTGAAAGCCTGTCATAGATTTCAACTGCGGCACGTTAGGGCCCAACCGCGAAGAAGAGAATCGCATGCCCAAACCTGGGCCCCATAGACAACCTAGAAGAATGACTGGTGACGTCCTCTGATGCCTGTGCCTCTCTACCAGTTCAGCTTGAAATCGCTGATATGGGGAGGCTTACGACGACTGTTTGAGCCCTCCTGCGGATATACGAGTCAGACAACAAGCATGTTGGCAATACACGCGTGACTCCATGGTGCCGTGCAGTCGACTCTCCTCGCCAGCCTGCGACCGTGCAGCGCTCGTTCTTCATGATGGCATCGAGCCTAGAGCTCCGATCGCCCGTTCGAGCCCAGAGACAAGCGTCTCGCGGTCACCGCAATCCGTGATTGCTGCGCACCTCCTCGCCACGAACGGCGCACGCCCTGTGATCTCCCAGGCGCCACCAGCGACAGCACCCGCACGGCACCGCAGACAGCGCGCCCCACGGCACCGGGCCGAGCCCCACCCTCTGCAGCACTCGGCTCCCCCAGCACCTCCCCGAACGTCTGGAAGCCACAGCTGGATGGAAGTCGGGGTCCTGCTTGACAGGACGGGGGAACGTGCGAGGCGGGGATTCATCCACATCCACCGCCCAGGAACCGACGTCCTGTTGCCCCAGCGGGCGGTGGCTGTGGATGTATGTATGTATGTATATGTATATATAGATATATACATATATACATATATATATGTACATATATATATATATATATGTATATCCATGTCCATGTCCACCGCCTGCCGAGGTCCCCGAGAATGGATTCTCCCGGCGGTGGTCCTGTAGGAATTCCCGCCTCGGAGAACGGGGCCCCTTCCCCCCCGAGAGAAGAGGGACGCTCGACGCCCTTCGCCCGCCGCGACGGGGAAGAGGCCGCGAGCGGCGCGCGCCCTGGTCGCCCGCCCGCTCCTGAGCGGGCGCGCGGGCTCCTTGCCGCCCCCCCCCCCCCGTCAGCCCCGCGTGCTCGGCCCACCCTGCACGAGGCCAGAGCTAAGCAAGCGCGCTCCACTGCTCGCAGAGTAGCTGACTTCCTCGCCAGCGGCCTGGATCCACTGCGTCAGAGGCCCACAGGCACCATGGCATCGAACAACGCTCGTGGTTGGTGACGTCTGCGAGTAGGCACCCTTGCGAGCAGCGGAACGCGCTCGGTGAAGAGCAAACGAGATCGGCCTCAGCAGCGCAGCGGCGACGACACCAAGCGCCGCGCGAGGCGACGCCGCCGCCGCGCCGTCCAGGACCCAGAGCCCCACGCGCGCCCGCGTCGCCACTGCTGCCCGCCGCCCGCCGCCCGCACCTCGGCGGGGTCTGCTGCAGTGTCTCGCCCGAGCGAGCTGCGGACAGAGCCTGCCACCAGCTGCCGCAACTACCAAAGCTGGAAACACTCGTTGCGTCGGCGGCGAGGCAGGGGTCGTCTGTGCGAGCGGAGAGGCCTAAGCGGGTGAGCGGGGGTGCCGTTAGAGCGAACTGCGCCACCGTGCAGGAGGGGGAACAGGCGGAGGACGAGAGCTGGAAACACACGTGGCGGAAATCACACGTAAGACATCCAGAGGCCACACCCCGGATGCACCTGCGAAGCCCGGCGTGCAGGCAAAGGGGCCGAGCGCTCGGAAGCCATCTGGCCACGCGTGTACCCAGCCCTCGCCCAGGCTGGCCGCACCACGTGTGCCCAGCTTCCTGGCACGCACCCACCAGCCTGAGGCCACTCTCTGGCACCGCACTGACCTACATGTTCGACCGTGGACCCATTGTTACGCATCGGCCTTAGGAGGAGGAGGAGCATGAGGAGGGGGAGAGGGAGGCGGAGGGGAACGGCCGAGGAGGAGGAAGGAGGGACGAGGAGGTAAGAGAAGGGAGGAGGAGGAGGAGGAGGAGGAGGAACGAGGAGAAGGGACGAGAAGGAGGGGAGAGGACAAGGACGAGGGCGACGAGGCCGCGGAGGGAAGGAGATAGGAGGGAGCAGGCTGACCGGCGGGCCTCGGAGAGGCGAGACGTGGTCACCACGATGCGGGAGAGGATGGTGGAGCAGATGAAGAAGCTCGCGAGCGCAATGACCTCGGCGGAGGGGGGCGAGGAGGGCCACGAGCGCAGCGGCCTCGCCGTCGCAAACCCGTCGCCGCCGTCCGTGGCCACCACTTGCGCTGGGCAGGCGGTGCCAGTCTGACCGGCTCGTCGCCGCCCGTCGCCGCCCGTCGCCGCTGTCCGTCGCCGCCGTGTGCACCCGTCCACTCGCACTCGTCCTCTCGCACTCGTCCGCTCGCATGGCATGGCATAGCATAGCACAGCACAGCATAGCATTGCCTACCGCAGTATATATCATAGAATCGCATAGCATAGCATAGCAGCGAGGGGCATAACATAGCATATAACAGCATGGTGCAATCAGTGTGGTGCAACATAAGGTTGCATTGCGGAGATTGCCCCGCATTGATCGGCACTGCATGGATTGCATCG